CATGACCACATGACCCTTCTGGCACACCCTCGTACAGAAGCGCCTCAGAGACAGGTCACAGAGCATCTTTCCCGACTTTTTAGCTTCGGCAACTAGCACACTCCTCCTGAGCAAGTTCTCAAAAACTGGGTTGATTAAATAGTTCTCAGCTCTCCCAAGTTGGAATTAGAGGCCAAGCAGCTTCCCTGAGACAGATCTTGGGAAAATGAAGAATACGGGGGGAATCTCTCTTCTGGGTGACTAGTCCCTGTTCTGCCATTATCCGACTTGGGAGAGATACCCAAACACTGAGCCTCAGCTGCCTCCCATATAAAATGAGGGGACTCAACTAAAAATCCTCGAGGGTCCCTAATATCTGACACCTTATGCTTACACTCCATGATCTCCACATTCTGACTCTACCGCCTCAATCCTCCAGACTATGGAAATGAACGTCAGTCGGTGCTTCACTGTCCATTTCACTCGTAACAAGCAGGTGCTGTGTGCCGTGTGTGCTGTGTGTGCCATGCGTGCTGTGCGTGGTGCTATCAGCCCCATTCACAGGCGGGGAAGCCAACTCAGAGGCCCAGAGCCCTGGCCCCAGTGCTTCTGCTGCTGAGAACAGAGGGCAGGACTGCGGTCCAGGTGCCATGGCTGGTGCCTCCCATCATGCCCACTGCTCAAGCTGGGGGTGGACAGCCCAGGGACACACAGCAGGATGCAAGAGGGCCGGCCCCTTGGGGATCCTAGAGCAGCCAAGGATGAACACAATGCATCTTATGGAGAATCCACTATACTCAAAAATTGGGGGGACAAAGTGTGTTTATGTTAGGAAAATCAGACATATTCCTGAGTACAACATAGAATTCGTATTAAATGTTAAAATGTAAAGGGTCTGAGATATCCTGCGGGAACATCCAGCCGAGCCCGTTCTCACACAGGAAGCCCTCTGAAACCAGAACACTTCATTTACCCCATAATAACGTTTCAAACAGCAGGCTGTTATTAATCCAAAAAGGACAGAATTTAATTCTACAATAAAGCTGTGACTTCTGGGCATTGCTGGGCAAGGAAGGGCTGAAGAGAATTAGTTTCCCTGTTCTTCCTTTTGAAGTCATTAAAAGCACCCAAGAGCCCTGGCCGGTGTAGCTAAGTGGTTAGAGTGTCGGCCCGTGGACCAAAGGGCCTCAGGTTCAATTCCCGGTTGAGGGCACACACCTGGATTGCAGATTGGAGCCCGTGTGTGAGAGGCAACCAAATGATGTGAGACTCTCACACAGATGTTTCTCTCTCTCCCTCCCTCCCTCCCACTCTCTCTGAAAACCAATGGAAAAATACCCTCGGGGGAGGATTCACACACACAGGCACCCAAGAAAGTTATGATGCCAAATGAAGTCTCCCATCACACAAGCCCCTAACATAACTAACCAGGGAGCTGACCACTATCAGAAGGGGGCGGCTGGTGGGCGTTCAGTCAAGGGGGGCAGCTACAAGGCTCGTGGTTCACCCAACTGCATATGCCAAACTACATGAAACTATGGTGTGGCACCTGTCCCATCCCTCCTCTCTCTAAACCTGCAGATTCTAGACACAAACACTAGAGGGTCTACCCCGTGCCTGGCCCTGGGGGTAGGAGCAAAGCCTAACAGGTCCTTCAGGCCAGAGTAAGCAGGCCTCCTACTGGGCCCTAACCTTCCAGAGAACAAAGTCTCTGAAAACCTTCAACACGGTCATCAGTCATCATGACACTGAGACACTTAAGATTTACCACTGTGATGCTACTATTGCCCCAGAGATTTTATGCCACTTGGTTAATAATTTTGCTTTTCTCTCCACTTACAGAAACCAAGTTTCCAATACATATGCGTCCGAGTTCTGCCATGGAATCAAGTGTTTAAATTGGAAACGAAATCAGGGTATCAAAACAGCAAACGTGGCATTTTCCCGGTAGAACAGCATTGTGAGAAGTTACCGAATAACCTCCACTTAAAAAAAGTATATGGCATCGAAATCAGCATGGAGCAAACCCTTAAAAAAAGTCAATCCTGACTTTTTCAGGGCCCAATTATAGGCCCCAATTTTTTATTTCTTGAGAACTAAAGAGACTTGGGTCATCTCAGCATAGATGAAAGAGCAGCAGGTGTGGGGGAGTCCCTGGGGAAGGGCCTTCTTAACATTTACACTCCTCCCTCACCACTACAATGAGAAACAGTAGGGACAGCAATGTGCTCCACCCAGGGTGGGGCTGCTGCTCTGTTCCCCAACCAGACTATGCCCATCACAGGGGCAGACTGCCTGACTCACTTGAGCTCCTGGCCACAAAGGGCTGGGTAAGAGCCAGAGTACCACACAGGGACTGTGACAACTGGACGCCCACTGACCAGAGGCATCGCCAGCATTGCAACCACTGGCAGGTAGCAGCTGGACAGCCAGTGGTCAGATCCCATCTTACAAAAACACGATGGGGACCTGGTAAGGACTGTCATTCTCAAAGCCCCACTGGGCCTGCCTCCCTGACACTGGGGCTCACCGCTCACTTCCCGGGAGCCTCCCCATCGGCCCCAGCCAGCAAGAGCTTTCCTTTTTCTGAACTTCCTCCAGACCTCCTGTCATCTGCAGAATCCACGAATTCACTGTAACCCACGTCCTAGGGCCCTCTACCTTCTTCCTGGGGTCTACGCTCTTGCTGAACGGCCAACTCCCTGAGGGCAGGGTGGTGAATTTTCACTTTTCCTCAACCTTCCTGCCACCAGCTTCAGTCCAGGTGCATCTCAGTCAAACCCCCTCTGGTTTCTGGCTCCTCCCCCTCACCGAGCACAGGAGCCCAGATGCCCCAGACTTCTGCAGACTGTGCCTTTAAAGGCAGGTGCCATCTCTCGCTCATCCTGGAACTGTAACTAGAACATTATGGGAACTCGAGGCACATTAATTGAACATTAAATTAAATGGGAAAAAGACTCCCTAGTCCCAGCTAATGACCCACTTATCTCAAGGAATATGGAATTCAGTACAAGATTTCAACCTCATTTCTGGAGTCGACAGAAACCAGGAGTCACCTGCACTTATAACTTCTCACTACCTGCCAGTCTTACCCCAAGGTATCTGCACAGGGAGACAAAATTTTGTCCAAAAAAGGTTCTACTGCCGACTGATGAAAACCTCACCCCCTCCTTCCGTGGCTGGTCAGTGCCCCACCATCCACCATGTCCACAATGGTTGTGCAGAACCCCACCTCTAAAATAAAAAGGCCATTTTGCATTTTTTAGTTAATTATACATAACAGATATCACACAAGCACACATCATGTTTTCTTAAACTGTTTTAAAATTGCACTTTCTTCTATTTCCATAAGCTCCCGTGGGCCCAAATCTTGCTAACCTGCAAGCTGCACCATCCCTTCTCCTCTCTACTGCCCTCCTGCCTGCAGGCTCCTGGACCTCTCTCACAGGCTTCATTCCTCCCCACTCAGCACAAATCTAAGCAACATCTCCACATTTAGGCCTCGGCTGCCTCTCTCTGGTCGCCTTCCCAATCCACCTGCCTCACTCCCTCTTTCCTTCCCACTCAGTAGCTCTCTCCCCAGTTTCTGTCTTAAGTCAACATTACGTCTCTCCTACCCCCCCCACCCCAATAATCTTTCTTCCTCTACGAACACTTGTAAAGAGGCATCCAAGGAGTCGTGATTCCACAGAATCGATGCTGAGGGCCTTGGTTGTAAGATGTCTCCTCTGCTAAGTTAGTAGGTCTTAAGCTGACCACTGCGAGGAAACTATTGCGTAATACTTGATAGGTTAGATCACCGGCTGCTTGGAGAGTCTCGCCATAAGATGGGAACACAGAGATGGGCAAATTTAACGCAATTTCCTTTGTTTGCTTGAGCCAGCCCCGGCTTGCAACACCGCAGTGACAGTTTTAGCTTTCTCAAAGTACAGCTTTAACATCATTTAAAAACGGACTTTAAGGGAGTAAGTCATCCTCACTCTTCAGCTCATTAGCATATCTATCCTGACAACACCCCAGAAAGGTCCCTGTCTGTACGCACAGTGAAAAACTGAAGGGATTCGAGCCAGGGGTGTTTACAGAACCAAAATCCCAAACGGGAAAACAGCGAGAAGCAACTGAGACATTTCAGTTAGACGAAGGGCCTTCTTCAAGGCATGAGCAAGAGTTGGAATATTTTTTAACAGAAACACTGGCCCCTGCTATTGCCTGGCTCCTGTCTTTACACCCTTCTCACTAAGTGAGGCCATCTTATTAACTGCAAAATGAATGGGCAGCGTCCAAGGAAAACGATGGGTCTCCTTTCCCCCACAGAAAAATTCCCATGAATGTCTTAAAAAAAGAAAAATAAAGTCTGGAATTCTCCCTGCCAGCTCCCTCCGCTTCCCGGCTCCTGCATTGTGACAGCTGGAACAGATGGCGTCTGGGTGAGACACTGCACGTCTTAAACCTCCTCTGTGCAAGGTCTGATGTGCGCCGGTGACACTGGACCCCAGGCCAGGGCCTCGGTCACCAGCACCTACCCACAGGAGGGCTCCCAATTTTGCGTGATACTGCCCGGTTTTCACACTGGTCAGGCTTATTTTGTTTTGGCCAAAGAATTTTTCGTCTTCCGACTAATTCCTAACGTGCGCCTTGTCACAAGGTGGTGGGAAGGCAGATATTTCTTCTCCTTGGAAGAACGAACAGCTGGCTGTCCACTGTCCTGCACAGGATGCAGTGTTTTTCCCACAGGCCATTTTCAAAGACGTGAAAGATGGGAGACCTTGGCACCCACCGATGGCCCACCAGGTCGTTCCTTTAGAGGAGGGTTTTACAGCCATACGAAGGGGCAGAAAACAACATTTCCCAAAGCTTCACCAGTGTGTGTTCACAGCAAATGCTAGAGAAAAAAAATTATGGCTCCTCCTCAGTTGTATGCTGTGAATGTAAATTAAGAAGCGGCAACGACGCTACTCAACGCAGCCTTTATGACTCCACAAAAATAAATAAATCACACACACACACACACACACACACACCTGTGCCACTGGGAAAACTGATTCACAGTTCAGACGAAAAACGCGAAGTAAAATTGTCTCCTTCAACGGACCATCACGATCTGAAGGCTTCTTAAATTTCAAGGCACGTCCACACGTTTCATTTCCATGCTGCTGCTGTTTTCCAATGAAAGGTACAGGGCTTTCCACAAAGAACCCCTCTAAAGGTCTCGATATTACGAGGTCCCCACTCGGGTGACAGTGGAAACGTGGCAGCGC